ACATTCATAACTATTCATATCAGAGATGCTTGAATACAAAATACAATAATAATATTTCTGTTTTTTAGTTCTCATTATCATATCATTTGAACTGTTTGATTCTCTGTGTTTTGGCAAATTCAACGGTTTTGTTTAGTCCTCCAAGAATGAATTGAATTGAATATTAAAGCCATTCACAGGAGATTACAGACGATATACTCGGAGTGGACTGACCAAGTGCTAATGTCATCCATAGTGTTTGCCTTTTAGAGGAGAAGCCGCTAGAATGAACTCCAACAGACTATTCGTGCGAGAACGTGAGGCCAAATGTGGGCACGTTATGTCGGTAGCAACGGCAGAGTTACAAAGCGCCAATCAGGAGCCGGTTTGTACCTTCTCACACTTTTCACACGCTAAAGCTGAATTTAGAAAGTACAGAGGGCAATGAGTAAATACAATGCAAACACACCAGTAAACCCATTAACCACAGTGAAAGAGAAAGAACAAGCACTGACGCTGGATCAGAGAGGTAATGGAAATACAGAAGTGTGCCCCAGGACGATAAACCGGGACATGGGGCTATTTTACTGTGGCAAACCTGTCGAGCTAGCTTATGGCGCTGTCGTCCTGCCTCTAGAGGAGGGAAGACAGCACCAAAACAGTAAAATACACATTCGCAGACACATCACGTGACTAAATCGTAGTCTTTAGGTCTCATATCCAGATCATAATAAAAACACACCAGTCAAAAGGAGCCAGAGCAAGTTGAAGCAAGACCCTGTCCATGAGCACTTCCCTTTTAGGCTTCATGGAGCTAGCGGGTTAGCATTGTCCATCTGTATGCTCTCACAGATAGAGGTTTGCGGCCGGTGCTCCTGACGGAAACTAAAACTTTTTTGGCGTCTGTCATTTTCGTGTCAAAATCGACCAAATTTGAGATTGTGATCTGTCAATATTTGGATTTCTGGCTTCAAAATCAAATCTTCTCATGTTTGCCAAAGGCTGCATTGAGTCCAAAAAGAAGGTCGTGTTAGGAAGGGTATCTGTTATTTTTTTTTTTTTTTTTTTTTTTTAACTTTTTTACATTTTAATACAATTACAAGAATGAAAACATAAAAGAAAGAAATAAAACAAAATTATATTCGAAATCTAATATATACGGTTTACAAATACAGTAGGTGTTAAGGTGGGAGGGGTTGGGGGGGAGGGGGAGAGTAAAAAAATATATATATATATATTCGGGTTGCGTTTTTTATTGTTTCAGTTCTGCCTTGGTTTGCGGAGTTTCTGTATATGTATGTGAATGTGTATGCAATGCAGGGGGTGCATAGGTGCTATGTCGAATGTGGTCAAATGAGTCTATATATTTTACTAAAAAAAAAAAAAAAGGAAGGGTATCTGTTTATTAGTGGGTTAGGGAGTGGAGGGCGGGAGACTGACTCATAAAAAACGTTTTTTTTTCACTGAGATTTTACGGTTGTCGCCTCAGACTTGCACCATATTTCACAATTATCTTTTACTACTGTGTCGAGACTCGCTGCACTCACTCACTTAAGGCGGCGCTTACGTCGTGTTTCTGACTTCATTAAACTTTAAAATGTCGTCCCTTTGAGAGATTCATTCACGCGTTACAGAAAAGAACATTTCATCCGCAGCCCGGTGTTTTGCATTCGTATTTTAAACAACTTTCAACAGGCTTTGGTCCAGAGAGAAAACGGTTTATCTGTTCTGTTTGTGTAGCCCTAAATCACAACAGTTATCTCAGAATGATGTACAAATTTGTCGATTCGCCAACACAGATCAGAGAATCAAACCGGTCAAACACTGCAATGATAGAGAAAAAAACAAAAAAACGTTGATATATGCACAGTGGCTCAGTTGGAAGAGTATTGGCCTTTGAGCCTGAAGGTTGTGTGTTCGAGCCCACTACGAGACCTTCTCCACTCCCATTTTTCCTATAAAGAGATGAATATAAAATGTCCTCCTGGATAGGGCTGGGCGACATGGCTGAAACCTATATCACAATACGATATACGATATATATTGTTTGTTTTTTTTTTCATTTCCCAGAATGTTTTGAGGTCCATGATTGGCTGTGATAGGTCGATAAGCCTCGGCATCCCCCATAATGCAGCGCGCTTATGACTCGGCTTTACTTCCTGTGTTTTCTTCCTGTTTTTTCTAACAGAGTGAAGCTAAACTATAGAACATTCTATCGACCCTGTTTTCTATTGATATCGAACACGTGTCTATCGCGATACATATTGTTATCGTTTTATCGCCCAACCCCACTCCTGGATCATCTGCCCTTAGACCCTTGTGCATCAGTAAGAAACAACTCAAACAATACAATAGTTATTTTAAAGATGATGCTAAAGCGTGCTCCATTTTGACGCAGCCTGATGACATCACAACGTTTAAATGCCATAAATCGCAGTTAGAATTGTTTTGTCTTATCCATTCAGTCATAACAGAGTAGGAAAACTCAAGCCAGGAGCAGCGATCGCCTCAACAAACCTGTTCTATTGTTTCCTTCTTCAGATGTGATGAAATCATTAGACAAAACAAACACACTGGTTACACACAGCAAGGTTCTTTTTGTTTTTTCCTAACATGGCTATTTGCGTGAATTATGAGCCGGGCCAGTGCAAGACACAGCTAACATCTGTGGACTGATTGGCTCCATAAATCCAGCCTCCCCATTGTACTCTTCTGTCTGCTCTAATAGATACAAGACGGCAGAGCTCCAGCCTCGCGGTCCCCATGGCTCCTGCGTGGACCACAAAGGCTGAAGCAAGGTTTGTGACGGTGGACGACTGCAGCTGCCGTTACCAGAGCTCTGACCAGAGGAGACTGTATTGTGCAACGCCGTAGGACTAAATTCAGTCAAACGGTGGAGTCTATCAGAGGCTTGCAGTTTTGGAACTTGCTGCCTGTTCATATCAGGAACTGTGACAATTACCACAGCTTTAAAAAGGTCCTAAAAATCTGGTTAAAAACAAATCAATCTTGCACTCACAGGTAGTTTAATTAAAGTTCAATGCTTAATCAACTCTTGGGCGTGTTGTGTTATCTTACCTGTGTCTGTCCTTGTAACTGTGACTGTAACTTTGTGCTGTTCTCTGGGCTATGTTTGTATTTTCCTTCTGTCAATGTTTCTTTTCCTGCCTTAGGGCAACGGATGCAATTTAGCTCTCACGCTAATTCTGGTACATTTACATTGATGCTTTTGGCTGACGTGTTGATTAATGTGCACTGTCCTAATTCAAATAAATAAATAAATAAAAAATTACAGGCCGGTTCCATGTGCTCGATTAGACAGAGGCCGAGGGACGGATCGGGGTCTCTCTGCTAAAATCACAGCCAAAGTTTCATCGGGAAGGATTGATGAGGAGCAGTGGGAAGTCCATCACGGGGCTAAGTGTTTTTTACGGTCCATGGGAAGTGGCGGCCGGGTGTCAAAAATGTGGGCCACTTTGGGTTTTAGCAAAAATAGTAATGTCACAAACAAGACAAGAGATAAAACTGGATAAATTCTGGAAAAAAACACACACACTCGGCCAATCAGCTCTCACCCAAAGGGTCAAATAGTGACTCACAGGGCTCCTTCTTTACTAATATAGACATGTTGTGTTACTCTATAGGGACAGACATTATTTAGCAAACACCACAAAAAAGTTAGATATCTCAGCTTTACTGCTATTTATCATTTGCAGAATTCAGTGGCCCTAGCAGTGTTCTAGCAGTGGCCCTAGCAGTGGTCCTAGCAGTGGTCCTAGCAGTGGTCCTAGCAGTGTCCTAGCAGTGTCCTAGCAGTGTCCTAGCAGTGTCCTAGCAGTGTCCTAGAAGTGGCCCTAGCAGTGCCCCTAGCAGTGTTCTAGCAGTGGCCCTAGCAGTGGTCCTAGCAGTGGTCCTAGCAGTGGTCCTAGCAGTGTCCTAGCAGTGTCCTAGCAGTGCCCTAGCAGTGTCCTAGCAGTGTCCTAGAAGTGGCCCTAGCAGTGCCCCTAGCAGTGCCGTAGCAGTGGCTCTAGCAGTGGTCCTAGCAGTGGTCCTAGCAGTGCCCTAGCAGTGGTCCCAGCAGTGCCCTAGCAGTGGCCCTTGCAGTGTTCTAGCAGTAGCCCTAGCAGTGTCCTAGCAGTAGCCCTAGCAGTGTCCTAGCAGTAGCAGTGGCATTACAGGATAGGTCAAATGCAAAGGACAAATTTGACTATGGGTACAATAAAGTATATTTATAGCTTAACTTGACATAATACTGTATAATTACCACTAAAACAAGCGCTCAGGAAGAGACTGGAATGAATCTTTAATAACAAACCAAACTAAATATACAAAACAGAGCACGTACTTTTTAAACGCAACTGTAGAAAATGATTGGAATGATTCTTTTGGACCCAATGAGGCAATACATTACATCACTCGTTCTCTGCACAAAGTGATAATAAGCATTTCAGTAATGACAGCCGGCCCTGGTGTGTGTATGTGGGGGAATACAAACACACAATCTGACGTATATATTCACAAGATCCTAATACTTTTGTTTTGTTTTGACACCTGAAACTGGAGACAACTTTCAAAGCCAACTATGCGAAATCTATTCCACTCTGGTGTATAAAACATAACAGAACAAGACGCCAAGTCACTGTCAGATTCCATTTGGCTCCTATATCTACAGAAAGCTTAGTCTAATTGGCTTTTTCACTGATGCTGGGCAAGTTAACCAAACATATCCGTAGGTAAGACAGTGAGAACTAACCCCAAACAATGCCTCAGACAGCCCCCTGCTTGTCTGTAACCCTCTAGTATTTAGTTTACAACAGTATCGATCATTATCTGGCAACACACCTTGATTTAATCTCTTGGCCTCTTAACTTTAGGTCAGTGTACTACTAGTAAGCGGATTTGCACTCTTATGTAAGTCCTGGAAAAACCAACAAAAGCCTTTACTGTACGACCATAAATGCACGTGATACCAAATTAATAATAATATTGATGATGACAAAATTGTGGTTTCAGTTCCGTACCTTGGACTCGTGCGGGCTGGGTCTGTGCAGGTCCTGGTTCTGATGTGGCTCATTCTCCTTCTCACTTATTTCAGTCATGTTGGAGTCAAACTGCTTTGTAAATGCAGAGGTAAAAGAGAGAGAGAGAGAGTCCACAGCGACCACGGACGTAACTTCTCACTGCGGGGGTCCAAAGCTGCTACAACAGCATATTTCAGCGCGTAACGCACAGTGGAGACATCTTTTCGTCGCGCGTAAAAAATCACGCCCGCTTCCCATAAGATCCGTTTTCCTTTAGTGGTTCCTTAAATTAGAGCCAGTCCGAGACCAAAGCCCACAAACCCCGCCGCGATCAGCATCCTCGTCTCTCTGTCCCAGTTCTTTCAGTGCGGTGTTGCAGTCTCCCGTTGCGCTCCGACCGTAACTTTGATTTCGCCGAGGCAAGTGCTAGGCGCGCTCTGATTGGTCCAAACGCATCGGGGGGAAATGATGTGAGCCTCGTGATTGGCTCAAACGAGAGACCGGGGCGGGATTACGGACAACCAGGTAAAAAACACAAGCGCTGCACTATTTTTTAATGTACTGGAGAAAATCATGTGTTTACCTGATTAAATGACGTGTATGACGTAAGGTTTGAAGGTTTACCTGTGTTATTGCACCCATACGTTCCCTTGTGTAGGTGCAATACTGTGCATGTTGTTCAAGATTCAAGAGTTTATTTGTCATTTGCAGTAAAACCACTTTGGAAAAACTGTGCAAGACTAAACCCCAGTGTGCACAAAATACATTTTGGCAAATCGAAGCCCCAGACCATCACCCTCAATGCACTAACTCATTCCATTCACACTGATTCTACATGTTTTTTAGTGGTAGGGAAAACAGCAGCACCCGGAGGAAACCTAGACAGACATGAGGAGAACATGCAAACTCCACACAGAAAGGCCTGGAGGTGGAGTAGAAGCCCAAACGCTAACCGCTAACCAAATTTTTCCACATACAGTGTAAAGTATGATTTTAATATTATCTATTGTATAAAACTTTGATATTTTCTCTCTTTCTCTTCTTCTTCTTCTGTTTCTCTTCCTCTTCTTCTTCTTCTTCTTCTTCTTCTTCTTCCTCTTCTTCTTCTTCTTCTCCTTCTTCTCCTTCTGCTTCTTCTTCTTCTTCTCCTTCTTCTTCTTCTCCTTCTTCTCCTTCTTCTTCTTCTTCTTCTCATCCCTCTCCTTCTTCTTCTTCTCCTTCACCTTCTTCTTCTCCTTCTTCATCTTCATATTCTTCTTCTTCTTCTTCTTCTCCTTCTTCTTCTTCTTCTTCTTCTTCTCCTTCTTCATCTTCATATTCTTCTTCTTTTTCTTCTTCTTCTTCTCCTTCTCCCTCTCCTTCTTCTTCTTCTCCTTCATCTTCTTCTTCTCCTTCTTCATCTTCATATTCTTCTTCTTCTCCTTCTTCTTCTTCTTCTTCTTCTTCTCCTTCTTCATCTTCATGTTCTTCTTCTTCTTCTCCTTCTTCTACTTCTTCTTCTTCTCCTCCTTTTTCATCTTCATATTCTTCTTCTTCTCCTTCTTCATCTTCTTCTTCTTCTTCTTCCTTCTTCTTCTTCTTCTTCTTCTCCTCCTTCTTCTTCTTCTTCTTCTTCTTCTTCTTCTTCTTCTTCTTCTTCTCCTCCTCCTCCTCCTTCTTCATCTTCATATTCTTCTTCTTCATCTTCATATTCTTATTCTTCTTCTCCTTCTTCTTCTTCTCCTCCTCCTTCTTCATCTTCATCTTCTTCTTCTTCTCCCTCTCCTTCTTCTTCTTCTTCTTCTCCTCCTTCTCCTTCTCCTTCTTCTTCTTCTTCTTCTTCTTCTTCTTCTTCTTCTCCTCCTCCTCCTCCTTCTTCATCTTCTTCTTCTTCTTCTTATTCTTCTTCTTCTCCTTCTTCTTCTTCTCCCTCTCCTTCTTCATCTTCTTCTTCTTCTCCTTCTTCTCCTTCTCCTTCTTCTTCTTCTTCTTCTTCTTCTTCTTCTTCTTCTTCTTCTTCTTCTTCTCCTTCTTCTTCTTCTTCTTCTTCTTCTTCTTCTTCTTCTTCTTCTTCTTCTTCTTCTTCTTCTTCCCCTCCTCCTTCTTCCTCTTCTTCATCAGCAGCTATCTGCACAAGTGTGAATACCTCTCCTCAGTATAGACTATTGTTATGTGCTGATCCGTCTGTATCCTGCAGCAAATAGACACGTTCTTAAAAAGCAACAGAAAGGAGAGGGAGCTTTAGGTGCTATTTTTAGTAAACATTTATTAATATCTCTTCTGCCATAATAAAAAAGAACTGTCTGGGAGATTTAATATAGTCTGCAGGCATAACAGTCCCTATACAGTTGCAGAGCCGAAAGCCAAAACATGGGTGGCTGATTCAGCACCACGGACAGCTCCCTGCCTCTCTGCTCTTCCTGCCTGCTTGTATTTCATTAATTACTTAGCATCGTTGAATGAAAAACATGGCTTTGTACATGTCCAATTAGCTTTACTTTCAAGATCGAGCGTTGAATTGAATTTTCATTATCAGGTCAGCTCGTGTTACTTTAATGGCTTGTGTACGTTGGATTGTGTTACGCTGTTCCGGACTAAGAATAGCTTTTGAGAACAATGAAATCATACCAGTTCCCTTTTTGTTCCTGTGTCAAAGCCAAACCCACACATGTTTTAATAAATTGTCTGTTTGAAGAGGTTGATGTTTAAGTTAAATGGCGTTTCCGTTCTCCAAAATATACTCTGGAGGTAGAACACTGTGTTCCAGTTTCCGTGGGTGGCCTTGAGAAGAGCAGGGACACACTCGTTTGCCACTATTCTGCTGTAGCTCCAGCAGAACGTAATTATGCAAATGGGAAACTATTGTATTGTTTTATCATGACCCCATAGAGGCAGTGATGAGACGCCTCTCTGGGGTTTGATCGCACATGCAGGACAAGTGATTGTTTGACCTCATTCAAAACACTATCAGCACCGGTTTGGATGAGAACATGAATTAAGCCTCACCTTTTATTTGTTCATCTGTTTATTATTCATTTATTTGGTATAGCGACAACTGTAATCAACATTTATAACCAAGGTTCATTCTCAAAGTCTGTCCATAGAAGGTTTCGTTTGAACAATTTAAAGATACAGCCATTGTCTCTGAACCTGATGATCGTAGGTTTGATCTCGCTACGTCCCATGTCATCTGCGCCCACTGAAGTCTGCTGTTGTTGTGACCCCGGGCAAGACACTTAACCCCACATTGCCCAAAGGCCCCGCTGAAAGACCAAGGCTGTATCTTTGTCCAAGCAGCAGCAGCCATCTTGCCGTAGACCCCCATCCCCACCTGCAGGAGGATCAGCGAGTGGCTAAAGCTGTGTGATTGTGGCCGCACCCCCAACCCAGAAATGGAACTATAAACGGAATGAAAATGACATTAAAAACATATGACATTGTTATTTTCACATGATATAAAAGGCAGGTGTCGCTCACAATTGGCTTGTTATAAAAATCAGCTTCAGTTTGTGTTTAAAACCAGCCGAATTCAAGTTCAGTTTAGGCTGAGGACTTGAAGAGTTCCAGACCTTATCCTCCTGAACCGAGAAAACCAACTGCCTGAGAACATTTTTTTTACAACTGTGGCAATTTATTTATAGTTTGTGTGGTTGTACAGTGCATGTTAATGAATACATGAATGACTTGGGCTAATTTGCATCTGTTGTCACAAACTCACAGACTATTGTACGTGTTTCCAGTGGTAGGGGAAACCGGAGCCCCTGGAGGAAACTGGAGCACCTGGTGGAAACAGGGAGAGAACATGCAAACTCCACACTTTCTGGAGGTGGAAATGAACCCATGAAAAGCCTTGAGAAATGCACATGATAGTACAGCGTCCCATGGTCAGAAATCCTTATTCTTATAACATTTTCTGCGTCTGAAATTCTGTTTGTGCCAAATACACTCAGGCATATTATACAAGATGAAAGGAGAAGAAAACAGCAAGGATTTGTCTTTTGTCTTGATGCAGGATGGAGCCTTCAGCCCAGTCCGTTTCTAAAACTCATCGCCATTGCTTCGTTTGTAGAATTAAACAAACACACAACTCCACTTAACACTCGCCATCTTCTTGTCTTTCCTTTTCTCCTGTTTCCACCAAAGCAGAGGCCGATCATCGTCGCGAGTGGCAGCAGCGAGGCAGAGAGAAGCGCCGACATCAGCATTTTTCCAGGGCAGGGGGGTAGAGCTTTTCACCGTTATGAAATGCTTTGGTAAGACTTGCTGTCTTCTTGGAGCATTGCAGAGATTGAATTAGGCTGAAAAATTGGGAGCATATGTCAAAATGCTGGCGATCCACGGCTCCCTGAACTGAAATATGCAGGTACTAGTGTTTAGAAGTGGTGGTGGATTCATACTGTGGTTTTCTTTGTAAACTACTTCTTTCTTACATATTCGACCACTTTCTGTTACGCTGGACTGTTTTGAAAGCAGCATGTGTCAGGTGCATTCAGAGCGTTTCCTGCTGATGGTGGGAACGTGCAGTTGGTCTCTTGAGAGAAAGCTCAGCATATTGTACCAAAAGGTGATATCAAAATGGCGGCTTAGCACTTTCCTGTTTCAATTGCAGTTGGTGTCATAGAGAGAGTCGATAACCGGTCCATACAAGGCCATGGGTTCAACATGTGTGTGTGTATACGCTGTGCTTCTGTCTGGGCAGGAGACTGAAGATGTATGTATTTCCTATAAGTTACAGATGAGCAGGGAGTAGCTGAGTAAAATCTCTATCTTTAGCATAAAAAGGAAGTCTAAAATCTCAAAACCCTGACTTTAGCATCATAAGGAACAAGAATCTAAGATGTATGTGAGATTTAATAAAAAAACAAATGTATTTTTCATTCAATCCATTCTTTGTCCATCTTGGCAGAGGTGGTGCCATGTTATCTGATCCTGCGGCTGAGTTTAGACCATGGATCTATTTGATAACTGAATAGGGTATTACAGCATGTGCTCAGGGGATTCTCTGCAGACTAAACCAGACTAAACCAGACTAAACCAGACTAAAATCACGTGGGCTGCCCAGAAATGTTCCCCATAGAACTCAATGTAAACTAAAACAGCTCATCCTCAGCTGACAGAGAACCTGACAGAGAACCTGACAGAGAACCTGACAGAGAACCTGACAGAGAACCTGACAGAGAACCTGACAGAGAACCTTGACAGAGAACCTTGACAGAGAACCTGACAGAGAACCTGACAGAGAACCTGACAGAGAACCTTGACAGAGAACCTGACAGAGTCCCTGACAGAGAACCTGACAGAGAACCTGACAGAGAACCTTGACAGAGAACCTTGACAGAGAACCTACAGAGAACCTACAGAGAACCTGACAGAGAACCTGACAGAGAACCTTGACAGAGAACCTACAGAGAACCTACAGAGAACCTGACAGAGAACCTGACAGAGAACCTTGACAGAGAACCTGACAGAGAACCTGACAGAGAACCTGACAGAGAACCTGACAGAGAACCTTGACAGAGAACCTTGACAGAGAACCTTGACAGAGAACCTGACAGAGAACCTGACAGAGAACCTGACAGAGAACCTGACAGAGAACCTTGACAGAGAACCTTGACAGAGAACCTGACAGAGAACCTGACAGAGAACCTGACAGAGAACCTTGACAGAGAACCTTGACAGAGAACCTGACAGAGAACCTGACAGAGAACCTGACAGAGAACCTGACAGAGAACCTGCAGCTTTTATAAAGGTCGTATTTTGTGGGGATTTTAGTGTCCCTTGTCGTCCTGAACTTTTTTTCTTCTTAAATCCTTCGGTTTTGTTTAAATCCACACTTTACTGCCACAAACTCTGCTCGTGTGGCTCTCGCTCTAACTCCCGCTCTGATGAACTGCTCTGATTGGTCAGAGCCGAGCCCCTCTGTGCACGTGCATGAGACCCACACACACACGTATTTGGCGCAATGCATTATGGGAGATAAATCCACTGCGGAGAACCGGGAGGACCAGACAATGCCCAAATACGGGCGAGTTCCCCATAGATCTTTGCGAGTTTCAGGCAAGTCCCGCTAATCTTTCGCTGCCCGTGCCGGCACAAAGCGCCACTGAGCACAAAACCATTCATTTGAATACGGCGCCACCTTGGATCGCCGGGGCTTGTGTTAGACCAGTGTCTCCCAAAGTGGGGTCCGCGGCCCCCTGGTGGGACGCGAGGGTACTGCAGGGGGGCCGCGGGAGGTCATAAAAAAAATAAAAAAATAATATAATTATTTAATGTTAAATTTATAATGTTTTGTTTGTAATATTAAAATATTTGTGTTCATTATTTGATTTGAATAATCCACTGTAATCATTTTTGTATTACAATGTTTGTAGCAGAGGCTATTTCCCCAAAATAAAATAACCAGAAGAGCCTATTCTTAATGTTGTCTTCTTGGTTATTATTTTGGGGGGCCACGCAGACCCGTCAGATTTTTAAGGGGGCCTCGGTGTTACTGAGTTTGGGAATGGCTTGTGTTAGACAATTGATATCGGTCTGTCCAAATGGGGTTTTTATATCCGTGCCGTTTTAAATGACTCTCCTCACACTGTTCACTTGTGTTTTGTCATGAACTTAACTTTAAAGTGTATTCAATGAGGTGAATCCCAGCACAACAAGCTTATTAAGATGGAAGCCTCCAAACCATGGGGTCCAAGTCCAAGGGGTACAGAACTCATAAGAATGAAGAATAAACAAGAATCCTCACCCGGAGAGAGCAGCAGTGGTTTCTGGGTCAAATACTAATGATTTGTGATAGGGGACAAATCTCTTTCATGATGCAACACGCAAATGTTAGCTCATGTGTGAAACAGCCTTGTTTTTTTATTCATCACTTTGAAGAGTTTTTCAGTGTACACCCGTCTCCTCTAGGAATACATGCCCCACTTTCCTACAAGCATGTGCCGTAGTCTGCAGTCTGGGATCGTAAAGCACAGACTCACGTGAGGGTCTGATGGAGCCATGATACAGACTGTTTATGGTCCTACGGAAATGTAAATAGTCCATTTTAGTAAATAAAAAGTAAGTAAATAAGTCATTTTCCACACAGAGAGCAGGGTCGCCAGTTCAGGAGGTAAATG